ATGTCCTGTTTGTATGAGTTTTAAAACACCTACATGAGGGAATGATTTTAGTAATCTTCCCAGTCCTGAGAACAGAGGCTCAGAGAAACAACAGTTAATTATGCCCGACAGACTTAAGAAAAGAGAGAGCGCTAGCACTGGTAAAAAGAACCTGAAAGGCCCTTTTCTGTCCTTTCATAGGTGTTTTAGGCACAGCTGCATTCAGGAGCATAAAAACTATCTTTAGGACTTGGTCTCAGCCTGACCTTCTTCTGGGAATGCTTCCCTCCACCCAGGGGGCCTATCTCCATGCACTGGGCCTCCCTCAGCTCCACAATTTCCAATTTTATAAAACACTTCTGGTTCTCAATATTTTCCCTGAAGTCCCAGAGTTGAGTCTTACTGACTTGAATTGGATCACTTGCCTTGCCCCCTTGACCAACTATGGCTGACAGGAAGAAGGAATGTGTTAATTTCTTATATATGGGTCACAGGTCCATCCTGGAGACAGCCCTGAGGGACTCACATGCAGGTGACTCCCTAAAGGAAAATCTAAGCGCTGCCAGCAGCTGAGGGGTCAAGGGAGGTGGGCAAGCCACACACACAAGTGTATACCCCACATAGCCATTCAGATTTCCTTCAGCTTGTGGAGATCAAGGTTTGCAAGGTGCTGGACATCACCAATGACATGCCGATCTTTTCTTTAGTGTAAACCTGGTCTTTCCTGTCATCCTATGGGCTCCTTCATGGGAGACAGGGGTCTTGAGTTGCTCTTGGGGTCCCCCTGGGGACCAGGGCCTTTCAGAGCACACTTCAGGTACTTCATTTCTGTGTGTGAACTCTGTTAGAAGATGATGGATGCCTCTCCTAGATATTTGAAACTTTTTCCTCTAGCTGAGATTGTTGGAATTCATGAAATTTAAAATTAGAAGCCATTCTGCAATATTTAAGTTCCAAGATGAAAATGGCCATGCATCAGTTGACAAACACTCAGGGTAGCCTTTCCCTATTTTTAGTTCAGATACATATAGAACGACATCTGAGTGCCGTGTACTCCCACTGCCCTACGTTGGAACCACATAGCCTGATTGTGCCCAAATAAGGGTGCTGAAGACTTCCAGCTCCCACTAAGTGTGGGCCCAACAGATGCGTATAACATGGGAGGTCTGAATGTCAGGAATGGGCTCTCAGAGGGTCAGATTTCAGCTGAGACAGGCCAAAGACACATTGTACCTTCAGCTCACTCTCCCAAAGAGTCCTGCCTGCTGCTCTCCTCTGCTCTCTATCCTAGGGGCACCGGATCCAGGGAGCTGCCTAGCCGTAGGGACATTTACTCTTGCAGGAAGCTCTTTCCTGCTGGGAAACCACTTGCAGAAAGCAGGTTGCACACTGTACGATTGAGGTACAGAGAGGGGCTGGCAAGGGAGGTAGAGTATCATGTCATCTGACAACAGAATGTCCACATGGGCATGAGAGGCAAGCAGAGACCCTAGACTCAGAGGTGTAAGTGCCTTGTGCACCTTAGAAAAAGAAACCAGCTTCTGGACAGGTATAGCCTCCAACATGTGCTTAGTGAGAGCTCCTAGGTTCAGGGACCAACCTGGATACATGCAGACACTGTGTGGGTGAAGCCACCCTGGAACCTTAGCAGGCCCATCTTGAGGCAACCCCCAGCTCTCTGCTCTAGGCAGGAGCAATGGCAGCACTCAGGGGCTTCTGCTCCTGCTCTCTACACCCAGCTCAGCATGGATAGTCCAAGGAGAGCCAGCAGTGAAGTCAGATTTGGCCAGCACTGTGCCAACTACTGCCCTGTGCATCTACCTCTAGCAGAGTCCCTGGAAGCCAGCCTTGGGACAGCGGATCCTGCTCAGCCCATTTCAACTTTCCCCTGGGTTTGAGAGCCTGTCTTCTGAATACAAAGCTCTGCCCTGCTCTGTTTGCAAGAGAACCCAGAGAATTCCAAGTGCAGTGGTTTCTGGCTTTTTCCTGGGTCTCTCACAGATTTGAACCTGGGAGCACTTAGAGTCCTCTGGTTGTGCTCACAGAACAGCCCTGCCAGGACCACCCATCCTCCAGCCACTTTGCAGAGCCAAGGAAAAGCAGCACCTGGGGGCTTTCAGGAGATCTATGGCCCAGGAAGGAATCCACAGCTCATGATCTTGGCAAGATGCAGGGGTAGGGTGGTTGGGCTGGTGTGTTCATAAGGGATCCTCATCCAAGGGCTTAGTAGAGCTCAAGGCAGAGAGGCAGAGTATAGGGAAGAGGCTGGGTTGTATGGAGGTACTTCCCTCTCCTAGAAGGGAAAAACCTGCCACTGCTTCCAAGTAGCCATGGGCTAGCTAGCAGGGATTCCTGGGAGAGGATGTGTCCTGTTTGAGTGCACAGGGTGATCTTACACCAGGTTTTGTTTGCCTGCGGCTGTCAGAGCAGAGGTCCCATGGACTCCCTCCTGAGGATCACTCATTCCTCAGTCTCTGACCCTGGACCTGAAGCAGCTGAGCCTGGAGAGCCATTTTGGGGTCAGGAATACGGGTGGACACAGGATGGAGCACAGATGGTGATGATTTAGGGCCCTGACCCTGAGTTGGGGAAGGAGTCGGACTGCACTGAGCCCCTGCCATGGACTCCCGGCCAGAGAGAGACAGGAGCTGAGAGTTTAGGACTATTATTTGGTGGGCAAGGCTGAGGAAGGATGCTGGGCAGCAAGCCCTTATTTGACTAGATATTTTTTTTCCCCTCTTCCTTTCTTGACCTTTCTGATAGCAGGCTGAGCTTCTTTGGCACTGCCCGTGTATATGCCTGTGTGTGCATGCTTCCTGGAGTATCTTTATGTGTTTCTCTCTCTAGCTCTCTGGTTCTTTTTGTCTCACTTACTCTGTTCTGTATCCTTTCTTCTTTCTCTGTCCAAGTTTCATCTTGAGCTTGTATGAAGTTTTATGCTGCATCTTTCATATGGAGAGTGATGGTGAAGACCAGGAAAGGTGTGTATGTGCTTGTGAGGGGGCATGGGAAAGTCTGTCTCTTAGTGAGCCTGGACCACTCACCAATACCCTGCCTTTGGTCCAGTGGAGGCAGAGCACAGCCAGGCTGGTGCTGGGAAAGGAGATAGGGTGGACATGCAGCACATACAGCTCTGATCTTGGGCAGTGGTCTGCAGGTCAGCTCCCAGCCATGGCCACTTGGTTTAGTAAACTCAGTTTGGCTATGTGCAAAATACAAGGCTTTGTTCCATTGGTTTTCATCCTTGCTGGAGCAGCAGGATTAATGTAAAGAATTATGTAAAGAAACAAGAAAGCTCAGTGGGGGTTTCAGAGAAATGGCAAAACCAGGGTCATGTGGTACACAGGAATGTCTACAGTGTGTGTGTAAGTGGACAGGCCCCATAGGTTTGGGGGGCAGTGTGGCAAGCCTTCTCAAGCACTGAGGAGTCACTAAATTTCCAAGCAGATTTGTGAATAGAATTAGCTGTGTACTCTTACTTCAGAATCCCCCAGCTTTATTCACTTACCAAGTGAGGCCACCAGACAAATCCTAAACTTTATTATGATGGTCCCTTCCCCACTAAAATCACATAAAGTGAAGATGATGCCTTCTGTGGCGTGTCAACCCAGCACATCTCCCTGGGCAGCACTGAGCATGATAAGCACAGGTGGTCAGCTCTGGTTTAGGGAACAAGTGCCTCAGCCATTGTTCAACCTCCAGGAGGTCAGGAGTAGGGAAGCAAACGTCTCTTCAAACTAAGCTTGGGATGATCTGGTTCCTCCCAACAAAGTCACCTGCCCCCTTTAAGGAGGAGCAAGGTTTATTGTACTTTTTGCTTCCGACTTTGCTTGAAAGCTTGAACCTGAGTATCAGGATTGGGCCTCACCATCCACTCACTCCCTGCCTAAGCCCCTTCAGCCCTTGGCCTTAATGTTTTGGCATCATTCTTTTAGCTCCCTGGGACTTGTGTTTGGAAGGCCTCTCTGGAGTTCAGACCTGGGCCCTGACACTTTCTACTTCTGGCTCTTGAGCACATCATTGCATTCTCAATGCCTCTGGTTCCTCATTCATCAGGTGACAATGATAATAGCATGTATTTTACAGAGTTGTTGCCACAAGTATTAAATGTATTAATGCAAGTGCTGCACCAATACCTGCCTCAAAGTAAATGGTCAATTAATGTGTGCCTTCCTCTTGAAGCCCGCAGCCCTGCCTTAACTCTCCTAGGGTCTGTCTGCAGGGACTTCGGCTCCACCTGTGAGACACACCTCCTGTCTTAACTGTTCAAGCCCTGGTTAGAAGAGTGAGATATCCCTGCAACATGCTCTGTTTCATTCATTCATTCATTCATTCACTCATCAAATATGTATCAGTATCTCCTATGTGCCAGGCACTGTGTCAAACGTTGCGGGTAGAACACCCCACAGGGCAGTGCACAGACCAGTGGGAGACCAGCCAGAAGATGCGGTCAGTGGGTTAATAGCTAAGAAGCTCTTAGAAGGGCATCTGGCACACAGCTGTGCTATGTAAGTTGTTCAATAAATGATGTGGTCAGCTGTGATAGGTGAGTACTGTTGCTGTGGAGCACACAGGGGGTTGGCTTAGCCAGGTGGAAGTTACATGGAACTGAGACAAGATACAGGAATAAAAGAGAGAAGGTGGGTCTGGGCAGAGGGCCAAGGGGCAGCAGATCTCTGGCTTGTGCAAGAAACTAGAAGCAGTTCAATCTGACTGGAATGGGGGCTCATGGGAGAGATGGAGGTGGCTGAAGAAGCAGGCAAGGTCAGAGTGTGGGTCTGGGAAACCATGTCAAAGAGATGGCTTTACTGAACTCAACAGAGCCTTCTCTTCTTGTCTGGGTTTTGAGGAGGGCTCCAACATCCCAGCAAGGCTCCAAAACATTCTGTGGCAACCTAAACATTCTCTGCACTCCTAAGGCTGATGGCCAAGCAGGAGGGGCATGTATGGCAGAGCTTTCCCAGAGGTATGGGAGGGGTTCTTGGGGACAGGGCCTTGGCCAACAGTTCTATTTTAACCAGATTCCGGGTTTTCTTTCCTTGCAGATGTTGGAGGAGCTCGAGTGTTGGCAACGGGCAAGTCTGCTGGGGTTGAAGCTGGTAGGTCAGTGTCCAGTTGATTCTGCATGGGAGGCAAGGGGCAAGAAAAAGGCACTCCAAAAGGCCAGTCATCACAGAATAAGGAAGGGAAGCACTCACCTCTAGGCCTTCCCTTTATCCCGGGGTTACTGTCCTGTCCAAGAGCCTGTCCTCAAAGGAAATGTGAGTCTTCAGGGCCACTTTTGTCCACACTTGGTGAGATGAGAAGCTCCAGCACCCAGAGTGCCCTGCACTGTGTCCTTGATCCCCAGACATCAGCCTCTGCCATGCTCTGTGCCCTTACCCACTCTCTGTGACCTCACCCATTCTCTCTCCTTGCCTGCACAGTCCCAGCTCTTTTCCACCTCAGAGCTCATCTAGAAGGGCAAGGTGCAATCTGCATTGTAAGCTCCTCTGGGATAGCTGCTGACTCCATGTCAGCCAGCCCAACCCTGTCCCCTGGCATTGGAGTGAGCCCTATAGTCCCCATCTGACTCCAAGTTCCCCAAGATGGAGCAGATCTCATTACTTTGCCTTCAGCGCTTATCGCATAGCTGAAAATTAACACATATTTGATAACAAGAATTCATGAAAGTATATGTGGGGAAGAGATATAGGAGTCCAGAAAAGTGGACAATGAGCTATGTGGAAGTGAGTTCCATAACTGAAGGGCAGAGTTCCAGGAAGAGAGGAGGGAGTGTGGTAAAGGAGCAGGGGTGCAAATGTTCCCTCTGAAGAGTGGAAAATTACATTGGCCTCAAAGGGTCCAAGTGTAGAATTTTATGGTCCACATGCATGATTTTAGACTTCATCCAGAATGGAAAGGGAGCAATAGAAGACCTTTGCAAGGTAGAGATCCACTGAAGCCATTGTTCAATTCCTCTTTGCACTTCAGATATCAAATACGCCATCATTGGGATGGCCCTTGGTGTTGCCATATTAGCTGGCTTCCTGGCCCTGAAGATCTGCATGATCAAGAAGCACTTGTTTGATATTGATTCCTCAGACCTGAGATTCAATGGTAAGCAAACAGTGACACTCAGCCCAGGCTCTGTCTCTGACAAGGACATGTTCCTGACAGCTGCCCAGCACAAGGCACTGAGAGCCACTCTAGAACACTTGGTAGGGAAAGAATAAAAAACCATGAGCCAAAAAGAAATACAGTAACTGCCCACCCCCATCCCATGTCTCTGTCTCTCTATCTCTCTGCTTTTTCTATTTAGTTGCTTCTGATGTTCATAAGAATCAGGTTTCCTGGAGAAGGGTGAGAAAGATAAAATTGATCCCTGGAGGTAATGAGGCTTGTCCTACCATGGGTGTGGGGGTGTGGAAGGTGCTGCCAGCACAGATCATGTGGACCAAATTGCATTTTTAAAAATAAATTGGGAAAGTCCTATTGATCCAAGGAGAATTGGGCTTTCATGAACCCCGCATGGTTCTCAGTGTCCCATGGCATCTTCAGGGTGGCATATCGCACACAAGATGCTAAGCTGCCTGTTTGTCAGTTTTGAGGTCAAAATGCAACAGTGATTCATACCCCTTTTTCTCAAGGTGGGACCTGCAAAAATGACCCCCATATAAAGCATAATGGAATGATGATACAGTTTTCCATGACGTTTTGCTGAGAATGAGGAGGAAGGCACCTTACTGCATCTCTGGAAGATCTGATGATATCTGTGAAGATATGCAGAAGGCTTGGGTGGGGTGGTGTCTGGGCCAGGAGGAGGGGGAGCAGCAGCACTCGGAGGGCTTCCCGGGATGCTAGCATGTGCAAGGGCACGAGAGGCTTAATTAGTCATAACAGATTGTTTACCTTTGATTCTATATCCCTAATAACAAAGAAGGAGGGAGAGCAAGTAACTGCCTTATCACATAGCCAAGCACATGACAGACCTGAGGACAGAAGCTAGCAGGAGCTGCAAGTGGAGAAGAGGTGAGGAATGAGGCAGGAAGGGGTGTTCCAGGGAAGGCTCAGTCTCATCTGCATGCTAAACTAAGAGTTCTCATTGACAGGATCTGAATAGAGAAATGCAGACAGTGTTAAAGGTGGGGGCAGGGCACTTAGCCCAAGACCACCACCTCCAGTGGCCCCAGCCCAGGGCACCTTTCAGCCCTGCCTAAGTCTAGTTGGCTCTGACCCCATCCTCATTGCCTGGCACTGAGTGTGAGTTGCACACTGATCGCTGCTTCCCTCCTAATGCCCTGCTTTCTCTGTTTAGATTCCATTGCACTAAAGAGGACAAGCCCAAGGTAAGGTCACTGCTGCCGTACCTTTTCCCTACTGTTTTATCTATTCTCCTCCCCTCCTGTCATCCTAGCCTTTTCTCCACTCTGAAATGCTTCTTAGGGGACTAAGATGCACCCAATGGCCCCCTCCTCTCACTCTCTGCTCCTTTGGGCCAGTGGGTGGGAGTCATGAGAGGAGAGGGTACAGCATAAAGTATAGTAGCCAAAAGAGTTTGAGCTTGCCTCTATGTATCCTGGGCACGTGGCTACAGACTATGTGGCCAGTTCTGGCCCTTTGTCAGGATGATCGAGTGTCCAGATGGAAATTCTAGCGTAGTGGTCTTACTGTCACCCATGGGTAAGCAATGCTCCCCTGGCCAGCCAAACCACCCACACACTCTGAGAGGTACTCTCTGAGTTAAGGTACTTGGTTTTGGAAACTCCAGTGCCTCTGAAAGTCTCCAGAGCTTGTTGTAGACTTTGTTTCAGGGGTGTCTTAGTACTGGAATTCTCAAAAATGTAAGATTTCATAAACCCTGATTCTTAATTCTGGTGCGTGTATCTATGCATGTGGTGTACTAGCAGGATGAGCGGCTGGGAGAAGCTGTGATGATATATAACGAATGACTGACACACATATGTTTGTGTCTGTGAAGATGCTGCTATGAACAGAACAACACAAATGAGTAGTTGTTGTGGTTTTGTGTTGCTATGTATGATCGTGTCAGAGGAGCTTCAGTTTTGTGTGTCTGAATTCTGGATTATTCTGACACATCAGAGCCATAGGCAGCCATTTCCACAATCCAGGCAAGGTGGCTACTGTTGTCATTCAACAATAAACACTGTGAAAGTGGAGTACAGGAAAAGACGTGTGAAGAGAGCAGGAGGAAGACAGGTGGGAAGGGAAGGAAGAAATGAGAGACGGGGAGAGGTGGGTGGCTAGGCCTTATTGGCCAGCAGGACCTTCCCCCCAAGATATATTCCCTCACCAGGCATAGGGAACTGCTCTTGACATGGATCATATCAGAGCTCCTCTACAAATGCAAGGATTTTTGAAGAGAAGGGAGACACAATTCAAGTTTCTGAAACTAACTCTAGATGGGGTCAAGCTGGGTCAGGAAGAAGTTTAGACCCAAAAGAAAAGGCAAAGGATGAGCAAGTTGTTCTCTTGTAGCAAAACTTTGCATGTACTTTCTGTCATCTAGGAATAATTTCATAAAGTATTACGTGTGCTCATAAATAGGATAAATGATGTTTTCCCGTTCTTCTGTTTTGCAGGTTAATCCCCAACCTCTCTGAAAGGTGAGTCAGTTGTAAGAGTCATTAGTTATCCAAAGGAGGAGAGACAGTCTCTCCTCTGCAGTGGCTGGTGGTTCTCTTGTGTGCCCCCACGCAGAAGTGGAGGCAGCTGCTAGCAATGGGCCAAAAGTCCATGTGCAGGATGGATATGAGACCAGGAATCAGCATCTTCTTTAGACATTTGCAGAAAATCCTGGTAGGCAGTACTTTGGCAAGGTGTGAAATGAAACTGTGGGACATTTGCCCAATTAGAGGTTAGAAAATTGGGTTTTAACAGCAAGATAGTTAAATTTTTTTAATTTACCAAGATCTTGTCTTGACAGAGGCCAATCAAACAGTTAGCCAGTTTACTCCATTTGATGAAAAAAAATTTCATAACTTTTCTTTGTGCTATCAAGCTATCGGTTTGGCTAAGCATCTGCTTTTTTCCCCTATGGCAGCAATTTTCAATCTTGCTCATCTCGCGGCACACATAAACTAATTACTAAAATTCTGCTGCACACCAAAAAGTATATCATATTTTTTGCCAACCTGACAAAAAAATAGGTATAATTTTGCTTCATTCACACTGGACAGCTATTGTTGTGTTGGCTGTTGTCAATTTTTTATTTGGCAATCATAGGGAAGAGAGGTCAGTACCCCCGAATAAACAATCAGGTATTGCATGTCTTAAAAATTCCCGTGGAACACTGGGTGAAAATTGCTGTCCTATGACATTGTCATTTCTGAGGTAACTAAACCTGTTGTCTTGTATGATGTCCCATTTCTTGGATTTGTCTGATGGTGTCCTCTTGAATAAATTCAGATGGAGAATTTTGTCAAGGTGTTTCTTTTTTCTTGCATTGCACCAGGAAGCACGTGGTGTCAGGCTTTCTCGCTGACATAGAGGCTGTGTTTGATCACTTGGTCAAGAAAGTGACTGCTCATCTCTGCATTGTTGAGATAAAATTTCCCCTTTGTAACCAGTAATTAATCTGGGGGGTAGGGGTAAAACTTTGAGACCATGTGAACATCTTGACCCTCAACTATTCTTCACCCAATGATTTAATATCCCTTTATGATTTATATTTGAATCAGTTATTGCATTGGGAATTACAAAATATTGAGTTTCTAATTCCAGTATTCCTTCTCCATTTAATAGCTGACATTCTTCTAGAAAAAATACTTTTTCTTCCCCCACTTTTCTTCTTTTCCTTGTTGAATATTATTCCTATGAACTTAAATGCATTTTAATCCATCACCATCGTGAAATTTTTAATGTTCTAATTGCCCCAAGTTTGTCCAGTACAAGTCACTTCTTGGTGGTTTTTGACAGCACCCCATTACTCACTGAGCATTTCCTAGGCTTCAACACAACACAATATCCCAGGTTCACCTTGCATTGTTCCTGCTCAGACCTGGAATTATCCATTTTCCCTAGGTTCCTTGTTTTCTTCCATCCCTCCCTTTCTTCTTCTTCTCTCCCTTCCTCTCTCCCTCCTTGCTTCCTTTTCTTGATGTGAAATAGTTTTTAGAAACTAAAATCTGGGCACAATGTGTGCTCATAACTACTGGGGCATTATTGCTTCTACATCCCTCAAGGGACAGTCAGGAAATTTATATTAAAACCACAAACTCAATACCTTAATGTTCTTAAGCTTTTCTTATTCTGTATTTTTATTTGGCCTACTCCAAAGTGAAAACACTGTTTCTCAATTATATGAAGGTTTTTTTTGTTTGTTCTATCATATTATACATACAGAGTACTTCCAGGATTACAACAACAAACTTACTTAGTAACTTGAATATTTCTTTACAGTTCTTTTTGTTCTTAGAATTGAGCCTTCTCTGTGTGTAGAGCATTGTTTTTAAATTGAATTTATTTTCTTTGTGTGGTTATGCTATCAGTTTGATATAGTTAGAAACATTTGTTTCAGTCTGCTGTTTTCATGTGTTCTTTCATACTACTTAGTTTAATTTTACTTTTTGAGTATGTAAAACATGTATATAGTTTTTATGGTTCGGATAAAATATGTAAGTATGTAAACTCAGAGACAAATGTGTTCACTCCACCGTACTTTGAGCTAACGATCTTTCCAATAGTTTCTGCTTTATCCTTTCTGTGTTCATTTTAAAAAATATATTTAATTGAAAAATTTTACATATATACAATATTTTATAAAATTAAAGAAAAGTTTTTATATGCATATATGCACATAAATATAAATTTTTCCTAGTCCTTGTGTGGGTTTTCTGTTTTTAATCTGATCACTTGGCATTTATTGTAGAGTGTAGTATAAGATGGAGACTTAATTGTGTCTTTTCTCAAATGACAATCCAGTTATTTCAATATCGTTTTTAACCCCTGCTATTGTTCCCAGTGTTTTATTTGCCACCCTTATCATATTCTCAACTTCCATATGTCCTTGGACAGTTTCTAGACTTTATCTTGCTCTCTGATGGTACTGGAGGTTATTCAGGTGCTAATATAGGTTCTGTGGAGGCTTTGTGGGAGGGACTGGTCCTCCATTCATTGTGTTTCCTTTTTAGGGGCATACTCTGGCTCTTCTCTCCTAGCTATTCTTGCATATTTCCAGAACTTTAGAATCAATTTCAGAATCTATCTAGAGATACAGACATGTTGGTATTTTGGGAGGATTGCTTTGTATTCATGTATTCAATTGACGATGTCTTGGAAATATTAAGCAGTCATTCACAGAAAAGAGATTTATTTTTTACATGTCTGTTTTTGTGTGTCTCAGAAGAATTTTCAGAAATTTACTCTCATGGGTTTTTCACATTTCTCGTTAAGTTTACTTCTAAATATTTTGTGATTTTGTTGCTTTGTAAATGGAGTTATCTAGCTTGTCTCCTACTTGGTCATTGATTGTTTATGGATTTTTTTTTTTTGCATGTTAACAGTATAGCAGCTGCCTTCTTAAATTCTTTTATTGTTTGTGTTAGTTTTCTTCCTGATCTTTTACTTGCCACCTTTATCATGTTCTAAATTTTATGATATCATATCATCTGCCAAACTGTAGATCTTCCTTCCAATTCTTATACCTATAATAGTTTTTCCCTGTCTGATTGCATCAGCTAAGACCATCTATGCTAAACAATAGTAGAAACAGTGTGTAGACTTGTTTTGTGCCTGATCTTGGTGGGGAATACACTAGTGCTTTCTGTCAGGTAAGAAGCTGGCTTTAGGACTGCAGTATGTATATTTTATCACATTGAGAAAGTATTCATCAATTCTTATTTATTGATTTTTTAAAATCAGAAATGTGTGTTGGATTTGGACAAAAGACTTTTCAACATTAGCAGGCATTAACTTATCCTTGGCAGATATACCCTGGGAACATCCTAAGCAAATCAAGAGGTATAGTCAGGCACCTTTATTATTAGTTTTGTTTTGTTTTTCTTTTTTTTCTTTTTGGCCCATATAATTTTTTGTAGGATGTGGTGGAAGATTTAGGTTTAGGCAGCCACCATAATCTAACAGTCTCCAAAATACTCTTTCTCTTGATACACCATCCAGGTCTGCAGCCTAATTCACCTTTGAAGGTGCTCTTTGAATTCAAGATTTGTTAAAAGCAATAGAAGAGTAAACCTCTAGACCAACTTAAACTTGATCTTCTCCTGGCCCTATCATACTTTAAAAAAGAAGCACATTTAGGCGCTCTTTTGGAATCCCTTTCTCCACTTATTTTTCTTATTATCCTTGCTTGTTTCCAACCTGCTTGTTTTCCATGTCAACTCTGCTACCATTAAGCTGTGTAACCCCAACCTCAACCTGTGCTCTTGGTTTTCCACACATGGGTAGATAAGTTATGTGTTGTCCCTTTTATGGCCGTTGACTTGGCTTGTCCATTGATGTTTTACTCTGCTCTATCTCTCTGCTATTGCTGCACCTTCTCCCAAGAGGAGCTGTTAATTAAATATCAAGATGTTAAGAGTGAATATACACAATGGAATGGTATAAACAAGTATGCAGTGTAGGCACAAATATGTCATTCCATTATAACTATAGATGTTTATATGAAGCTGAAGTAAAGTGTTGGTGTGAGTTCAGCCTCAGCATGCAGCGTGCTGGTGAAGTCCTTAGCCGAGAGGACCCGCAGCAGGGTCTCTGCCATACTTTCAGCCCAAGCTCTCCTGTATTGAGATCTGGTTTGGTAACCTCATCTTTCTTCTCTGTTCCTGTTTTTTAATATATACCTATGCTGCCATCCTCCCTGTCAGAGCTGATACCCTAAGTACAGCAAAGTTTCACTTTCTTTAACAGTGTGTGATTCAAACTTGAAGGTATCAGTTTCCAGTTACAGTCCCATAGATCTGTCTACCTTGTTTCTCTTAGCATATGCCAAGATCTGGGCAAATTTTTCAAGTATACAAAGTGGCACTATTCCCTTAGGTGTGCCTGTTAACCTTGGGGAATGACTTCTTCCCTTTTTGTCATCAAAGTGCATGAAGTATTGTGGCATTTGTTTGGCAGGCAGATAACAACTTTCAGCTTGAACTCTACATTAAAAACTCCTCTTTACCTAGAAGCCAGTGGTCTTCAAGTTCTTTTCTATGTTGCATGAGGAAATGTCCTACCTTGCTAACATTTGCTGGTGAACTTTTTCACACCTGTTTAATTGTGTGTCATGGTTAGAGCATAGTCATTCTGTCAATAAGTCTCCCAGGTGGTTCTCTTCCTTTCCAGAGATGCACAAGTGATTGAACTCTAAGTGAGCAGCCACTCTGGAGGGGTTTGCAGTTGAGACAACTGCCCACTACAGTTTTGGAGATGTCTTGAATTTGAATATCAAAATCTGGTGATGGACCTTCACATGGAATTCAATATCCAGGGCAAATAACAGAATGAACAGAATCTATGGTGCTTCTGTCCTGAAGGAAAATATCACTTCTCTTCTGCAAGAAGCTTGCTCTATAGAAGGAGGCATGAGCACTTAATCCAGTAGTTAGGGTGAAGCCACTAAATTCTCACTGCCTATCCTGGTCCCCATGTCAGAGCTGTTATGCTTCTGTGATGGCATTGCTTCCACCACAGCAATGCTCATGGAATGAGAACCAAACTCAGAACACAGCCTCTTTAGCACCACCATCTTACAACAGGTAAGCAGCATTTTCCAGAACTGTTGGCTTCACCTTCATAGCTGCCAGAAGAGTCCACCTGTGAACATTTGGGAGTCCTGATACATGGAGGCCATGGGGTAGTCTCTATTCCTATAGATGAAACACTGATCTTCCATAGAAGAAATGACATGCTGAGCTAGAGTGAGAGGAGGGGGTCTCATAGCCATGGACTGGGCCTGCAGTTCTGCAGCTCTTAAAATGATGGGGCCAACAAAGGACTAAATGGGAAAGCAGATGCTGTGCCTTGTTGAAAGCTATACAAATGTAAGTGGGTATTGTTATGCTTATAGAATTATTTTGTGGTTATTATAACAATGTGTATACCTTGTCATGGAGAGGCATAGGAAATCTACATATTTTTAATATTCTCATAAACCTAAGGTTCTGTGGCACAGCCCCTGTTAACATTTCTCTGCCCTATTATATCAACCTTGTATTTATGGGGCTGCATTTGGAGTACTCTTTGCCTCTCCATTCAACAGAACCAGATGGTTATATGGACTGGTTCTCTTTGGGTTCAGTTATTCTCCTTGTGTGTAATGAACAATGAGCTATATTTCAAAACAAAGTGTTATGTTACAATAATTTGCCTGGATTCCCAGGGCATCTTTCATCTGACTTGATAATAATGCAGTTCATTAGCAGCCTTTGTTAACTGATAACCTAAAGCAGTAATGCAATACTCATAAGTAATTTTCTGTGTGTAAGATAGAATAAACCATCATGTAAGCTATCTGTTAATTGATTTGTTTCTTTTAGCAGCATTTTAATTAAGACATCTGGTTTGTGAATGGCAGAGACACTTGTGAACTGAAGGTAAATGCTTCTGGATTTTCAGTAATCATTTTATTTTCTATAGACACAACAGAACCATAGGGTTCTCTCCCCCACCCCCACATCATGACATATTTTCCTAGGACCACTTCTGGGCTCCCGTTTTGTTTGATCACCACACAGGTTCTCCTGTATGAAAAACAGAGAGAATTACAGTGAAGGTCAATGCTGTCTTCTTAGGTTATAAAGGCTAATATGCCCAGGATAAAAAAGAGGCTGGGGATGCTTTGCAATGGGTCTCCTTGGCTTATATACAAATTCAAGCTCAGTGACATCCTCGTGTTGTAATTTTCCCAGGAGCTCTATCATACCCTTTTTAACAGCCCTTCTCCATAAGACCAGCTCTTGGGGATGGAGCTTCCGGTGGGCAGATCTTCTTGGACATGTTTGGAAACAGCCACAAGAAGTCATTGTGTCTGTGGGTGAAATGTCTTCAGTGAAGGCCATGTCAACTGCCTCAAGCTGTGGTTTGGGAGCATGCTAGCAGAGGCCAGGGGCTGAAATAAACCATAGGAACCCTGGGAACTCCAGAACACACGCAAGTCCCAGACAATCTATCTGGGTGGACAGGACTCCTGCCCAAAGCAAAGGAGCAGATGACACTAAAACACCAGAGGAAGAACTCTCACTACATAGATGAAGCAGGCTGCAGATGGCAGTAGCCAGCCAGAATCTGGAGTGCAGCACTCCAGATACTGGCTGGCTACTGCCGAGGATTGTTGGTTCCAGGATTTAGTACCTGAAGGAGAACAAGGTGAGCTGGGAAAGGGTTATCTGACAAGATCAACAAATTAAGTATGTATTAATCTCTATATCTACAAATTTAACATGTGTTAATGTAGAAATTAAAATTAATATATAAAAATTAATATATGTGATATATTCTATACTAGAATATATGGGGTTTGATTAAGTAAGTAAATGACAGCTTTCTTCATAACCCAGATTTACAAATAGTTAAGAGACAAATTAAGCAGATAGAGATGAAAAATATCTGAGTTGTGATTTTCAAATGAAGCATGACATGTCACTATTGCTCTACAGCCCTAGGGTTCTGCTGGGTGTCCCAACCCCAATTCAAACAAGAGGTAAGAGTGGTTTGGGTTGGAGTGATGGCAGCAAAGGTGCAAAAGACAGATGAGTTTGTAATGCAGCTTGGAGGTGGAGATGCAGGACTTGTAGACAGATAGATTTGGAGGTGAGGGAAAGGCAAACTCAGCATCATCACTCCTGGAGTTTGGTGTCATTACCCAGAAAGTGGAGGGCACAGGAGTCCTGGTCTTGGGAAAGTTCGACAGCTTGTCTTGGATCTGTTATAGCAACTATTAAGGAGCCAGAGAATGGGCTGCATTTGGAGAGAGAGTGAACCCACATTCCTGCAAGTGTTCAAGCTTGTGAACTGTTGTTAAAAATACACATATTAGAGATCTCTCATACATGTGCTACAGAATCCATGAGAGAAAGCAGGGGAGAATTACCTGGAGGAGTTGTAAGGCTCCTCTCCCATGATACAGGGTGTGCAGAGGGGTGGCTTAGAAAGATGAAAGCTGAGCTAGGTGGGGAAAAGGCTGCCAGCAGAAGGGCTGATGCCTGTGATGTGAATCTTAAAAGGCCAGGCCAGGCTCTGCTTTGGGCCCATCCTGCTGACAGATTCTTTCCCTCCTGGGTGATTTGTCATAATCACAGATGTGTTCTAGAAATTAACCATCCTTCAAAGCATATGATTTTGAAATGTACATTCTCACTGGATGACAAATAAGTGGTGCTTTTCCTAGGCAAAGTGCCGGGATGTTACTCAGGTCACCATTCCAGACTCACTTCTCAGTGTATTTTATATCTGAGTGTTCATAGTCCTTGAATTTCACCTGACCTAGGTTTACTTTTCACTTGAGGTCCACTTGAAGCAGTACAGAATAATGGTAGGGCATGTAGGTTCTACTGCCGAATGCTTCTTTGTGAGCTGGACTAACTATTTAACCTTTCTGTGCCTCAGTTCCCTCATTCGTAAAATGAATTAATTCTCCTTACCATGGGTCTTTGTCACCATTAAATAAGGCATGTAATTGACACTCATAAAATATGATCTATTACCTAAAATTTGGTCAATTTTTACCCCATTCCAAAACTCAGGCTTTGAGATTAAGGAAGTTTTTATTCTTAGTGAAATTTCAGGAGAACCATATAATTTCTTTATATATTTTTAAAATAAATTTTATTTTAGAACAGTTTTAGCTGTTCCTTAAAGCTGTGAGGGTAGTTTGAAGAGTTCCCATAAGCCCCACTCTAAAGTAATATCTCACACTAGTATGGTTTATATGTCACAATTAATGAGCCAATATAATTACATTATTATCAACTAAAGTCCATACTATATTTGTAGTTCTTTAGTTTTTACCTAATATCTCTTCTTTGTGCTAAGACCCCACCCAGGACATCACATTACATCATAAATTCTGAGACTACTCTTGGCATGATGGTTTTTCAGACTGTCCTTGTTTTTGATGACTTTGCCATTTTTAAGGAGCCCTTGTCAGGTTTTTGTAGGCTGTCCCTCAACATTGGATTTGTCTGATGATTTTCTAATGATGATAAATTTCTTTTGAGTAACATAAAATTGATTATAATCAAACAATAAACCAAGACTTTACTAATCTTTACTGCTATATATAAAGTATTTATAATAAAATTTAATCTTCATAATAAAATCTAATATTTACTCATATAAATAAAATTAGCCAGATAGCTGACAAATCTTACTGAAGCTAGAACTGGGTAGGCTCAGTATAAAGGAAAACTTTTTTTTAAAAATGAAACAAAGCAAGTATTTCTAATTAGTGAGCAGCTGCTGAGATTAGCATCATGTAACCATTGTGCATGTTAGATCCACAGCAGAGACCAAGAAAATGCTGGGGCCCTATTAATGCAAGTGAAGATTTGACACCATTCTCCCCACTACCCTACATAAAACAATCCTGCCTTTGCTCACTCTGTGGACTAGTGGGAGCCCTTGGTCGTATGGCCTGAGCTCTCCAGAGAAGCATCTCAGAGCTTCCCACTATTTTTCTTAGCAAAAATAATGACCCATAAAGAAGCCTTACAATGCAGTTTTGATTTTTTTTTGTCCTTTCTTGAATTTAAATCAAGAGGTGGTTCTTATATATTGGCAACATATTGTGAATTACACACAACTACTGACTGACCAAAAAGGACTTAAAACCAGGTCTAAAAATCACCCCAAATGTATTCTAGGGGGACATTTTCAGCCAGTAGTAGAGCTGTGCTTCCTGACACCAGTAGATTCCCTCCAAGGAGATAGTTTATGTGAACTCTGCCCACATCATCCAGAAGACCTTACCTACTGCTGAGGTAGATGATGCTCCATTCTCTTAGCTTCCTTGCCCTTCTGAAGTCAGGTTACATGAACAACTCGTACTCCCCCATCAGGCCTTGATCTAGGTTTATTCAGGTTGGGAATAAGGGGGGCTGATGTCCATAAGAAAATGGCTGGTCTCTGAAGGAAAATAAGAGATGACAGAACTAGAGAAAACTTGCTGAGGCACTAGCCACCTCCTTCTAGACCTTATGGATACTTTACTTATTGAAATTGTCTGTACCTCCAAGTCAAACTTTTTTAGACATAGTTGCACTCACCATGACAAACCATGTGCTCCTTCATTGACAGAATAATTCACTCAGCGTGGTTGAGGCTCTAACCTAGATGGACAAAGTGGGACTAATTCATCTGCCACTTACTCTGCATGACTTTGACCAGTCCCTTGACTTTGTGTTAGTTTCCTTATTTGTCAACTGAGGACAATGGCTACAGAGGATTGTTGTGATTTTCCAGTGAATTATTGTATGTAAAACAGTTTGAACAGTGTCCAGAACTCGTAAATGCTCTATACATGTTATCCATTATGAGGTATGACATTAGCCTCTACGGAAAAACAGAGAAGTGTGATCCTTAAATAGAGGAAACTGCAGGCAAGCAGGGTAAGCACATGTTATTTTAGAGGTATGAACAGAGTATTTTTAGAGCCCAGGAAAAAATAAAAGAAAATCATAACTACTAGCAGAGAGGGATGTCTCACCCTGGACATGAGGAGTTTCTAGTCAGAGAAGAGGGCAGAACATTCTGGAACCTAATAGGCCGGAACCAAGGAGTATAGAAGAATGTCATAAAGGAAGGTCAAGAGAGCCACTGCACCCAAGGCTTAGGCTGCAGGGAGGGAGGGTCAGTAGGCCTGTGACACAAGCAAGGTACTAACATGTTCAGCCACTTCTTTGTCTGGATTTTGTGAAATCTGTTTAGTCTTTCACAAAGTTAGTTGCAGAAAGACAATAAGTAAACATATGATGTAGAAGTTCAGAGACATAGAGAAAAGATCCAGATTTTTTAGTACCCATTTAAAAGGTAATCTAGAAGAAATGAGCAGACAGAAGAACAAGGAAAAGACATATCAAAAAAGAGCATAAATTACCTGAGCTGCAGAAAGATACCAAAATCCAGTTTAAAAGGAAGGATTTAGTGAGATAAATGCAAAGCCAACTATACCCAAAGAAATCAAAGTATAGTTTGAGAAGACCAAGAACACAGAAAAGGGAATGACCTATAAAAATATGAGAATGTAAGGTATCAGAATATGGTGGAGTGAGTGAGTGGAAGACACACTGACCTCCTCCCAGGACCAAACTGGAATTGCAACTAAATCGTGGAGAAATCACCTGGAAAACAACGGAACAATAGTGAGAGAGGAGCCTTGAAACCTCGGACAGACAGTGGAATCGGCTTTTGCTCAGCCTAACAGGTTAGAAGTGGGGTGGAGAATCGAGAGGGTGGGCTGGGCTCCCACAGGCGCCAGCACCAGAGGGATATTGAAATGACCATTTGGATCCCCTTAAGAAGAACAGGGTCTGAATCATAAATGGGAACCTCTAGCCTACAGCACCAGAACCCAAAAAAGCATACAAACAAAAGACAGCTGCGAAAAATGTAGTGGTGCTCACTGCCAGAGACAGGTGGCTGGAGACGCAAAGAGCCATGTAAAGAGCCAACGCAAAAATTTGCAGTGGCAGCCACCTACCTCGGTCTCTGGGCAGAGGTGGGGGCAGGTGGGCTGGAGCCGCCTGAGGAGAGATTGGTGAGAGAAGCTCTGGAGAGAGAACTGAGACACTGAGACAGTAGCCACTGGGGCCCTGGTGATGACTCACCTCCCACTCCGCAGCTTCTGTCCCGCTCAGGCATAAAGGACACAATAACCTCACCCTCAGGAGGCTCTGCCACAGCCAGGAGTGGCACGCAGGCCTGGGTACTGAGTGCAGAGCACCCGGCATAGAAAGTGGATCCCTGGCTAAAGGGGACACAGAGCTTCCTAGAGACACTTGAGGAGAGACTGGAGACAGAGGCACTGGGAAGAGAACTGAGGGAGTAGCCGGGAAGAGGAGACGCTGGGGATCCTGGTGCTGACTCCTCTCCCAATCCACAGTCTCCGTCTTGCTCAGACAGGCCACGTCCAAGAGAAGCAGCAGTCCAAAACAAAACAATAGCCCCACCCTCAGGAGGCAATGCCCCACCCTGTGGTGTCTAAGCCTGATAGCTAAGGGCAGAGTGTCTAGATTAACAATTGCAGGAGACAGACACAGATAGTAGATTCCTGGAAGTCTCAAACAGACTACCAAAGGTCAGAGGAGGTCATCTGACACCATCAGAGGCAGACCTAGAAATAAAAGGAAAAAAAAAAGACCCATCTACTA